CATTGATGCCATTATTTTCCAAAGAGCCATTGATCAGTTGAACGACTGGTGCACTGAAAACAGCCTAAATTTGAATCTGAGGAAATGCTTCGTAATGACGTATGCAAAGGGTGGATACGCAATCGACTACGTTTATACGATCAGCAACGGCCAACATACGTTTGAACGAATCAGTTTGCACAAGGATCTCGGCGTTATTTTTGACACAAGACTAACGTTCATCAATCACATCGATGCGATCACAGCCAGTGCACTTGGGGCAATGGGATTCGTAAAACGCACATTAAAGAATAAGTTCACGATTGAATCGGCTAAAATGTTATATTTTGCGCTAGTTAGATCAAAGTTAGAGTACGCGAGTATAGTTTGGCAACCATACCACCGTATACACTCCGATAGAATAGAGTCAATTCAGAAAAAATTTGTGATATGGACATTAAGATTTGTTTACCAAAGAGATGAGAATTTTGTATTGCCACCAGACATTAGGCTCGAGCTATGCATATAGCGGCTGCTATTTTATAGGTGCTATTCATAGGCGCTATTTAATTCGTGTGCTGTGTGTAACACCGAGTAGGAATATCATAGCCTACTATTCTTTTGTACATTTGAATGTGAGTACGAGAGAGATGTAGAAAATAACGCACAATATGCATAAATGCATTAAAACGAGATAAATAGCGCCTATGAATAGCAGCTATGAAATAGCAGCCGCTATATCCATAGCTCAAACCTAATGTCTGATTGCCACCGTATCAGTTTAGATGTGATGTTTTAAGTATTCAACCGCTTTGGATACGGCGTATTAATGCCTCTATATTACTTTTACGCACACACCTAGTGTGTAAGGTAAAGTATTGGAATCGGTCGAAAAATTAACACCCTCAAAAAACATGTTTTCTGGGTGTTTTAGGAGCCAGGGAACACGAATCTAGCGTTTTTTCGATGTCCGAATGTATGTGCGTGGTACCCTGTACGCTGTACGCTGTACGCAAAAATTTGTTAACACGATAACTTTCAAACAAGAAAAGTAATTCAAAATCTGACTTCACAGGATGATTGGGGGTGCCGAGGAATAGAAACCATTAGATTTTGAGCGAATTTGGTTGACAGGGTGAAGTGTCATGTCTGGTGTGATGCCCATGTCCATCCATGGGAAAAATTCAATTTTTCTTCCAAAAGTGATATTTAATGTATTCTTAAACACTCAAAAATGTGTATTGGGGGGTTTTTGGGTACGAGAAAACCGAATATGACGTTAGTTTTGCGATACAATCAACTTTCGAAACACTTTTCATACAAAAAATTCAAAAAATTTGGATTTTTGTATGGAAGCCATGCCTGTATGATATCGTAATGAGCTGAAACTTTGCACAGGTTATTTTTATCACACATAAATACTATTCCGAGAGTTTGAAGACATTTCAACGAATATTAGGGGCACCTCCCGAACAATATTTTGGATTTTTCGCTCTAAAACGAAATTTTGTATGGGAAGTACCCTTAATATGCATTGAAATTTCTTCAAACTTTCAGAATGTTAACTTTTTGTGAAAAAAATAACCTCTGCAAATTTTCACATGATTGCGATATCATATAGGCATGGCTCCGATACAAAAATTCCCATCTTTAGTAGTTTTTGTAAGAAAAGTGCTTCGAAAATTATTTTTATCTAAAACTAATGTCAGATTTAGTTTTCTTCCATGTCGTGGATCACAGTGCGGAAAAGTTCATCTTACGGATGTAAGACATTTTATTTTTAATTTACGATCTCTTATTGGGTAAAATAGTGTCGCGTTCGCTTAGAGATAAGATTGTATACACAAGACAGCAATATAACGTAAACCAAAGAAATTTGAGGAATACAGAACTTATTAGAGTACGGATGTTTACAGCTGAATATGCACATAGTCAACCATTTTACGTGGCGTGTAGGAATTTTAATTTAATAAGAGAAACATTTTTGGAATCGGCATCGAGACACATTTTTAGAAATAGTATTGTTGAATTGGACAATTTGTTATTTAATATTCGGTAAAATAGACTAAGAAAAATTGTGTTATGAATAGTAATATACGATATCTGCTGCTCCGAAGTCGAAAAGACTGGCGGCTGGTATTCGATTGGGTAGTGTTTCATTGCAAATGATATTGTAAATAATTGTGATAAAATCAGTCTGTGATTAGACGGTGAATAAATTTATAATAATAATGAACAAATAACATGGTTAATATTTTCAAAGAACAAGCGCTTTTCGAATATATTTACCCGGGAGAAATATCACGCATCAATTTTTCGACGACTGAAAAGGTCTCAATGACAATTTAAATGAACGCAATTTTTTTGTAAGCAAAGAAACACGACTAAATCTTTTGTGAACTGCTCTGATTTTCTGACATCGCAATTTATTGACAATAAAAATAAAATACAGTGAATGACAGGACCAAGGGGCGCCTACACTTGTTTTACTTCAGTTTGACGTTTTATCCGCTTTCGTTTCTTCACATCAATTTGAATGAGTCACCGTGGATGGTTCCACATATGTATACGTATGTATATAAACATATTTGACGTTCGTACATACTTTCTTCTGAATTATTATCAAAATTTGGGACTACCTCAACAAAATTCGCTCAATGTCACCATAATTTTGATGAGATAGAAGCAACAACTTTCTTGATATGCAAAGAAGAAAAGGGTTTCTTTCGATGGCTTTTCCAAAGTAATTAACTTTCGTTATTGACTCCATAAACTAGTGAGCATATGATGAAAAAAATAACGCAAGTAACTCAACAGACTTTTGGTTTTTGTATTTATTACATTTTATTCAATAATTTATTTCGACTCATGAAACGGTTTCCTTCTTCCCGGAAAATGTGTCTTAATATTAAAATAATAACGAGAACAGATCTCCATGTAAAAAGATACGAAAATAGCCAATTTGTTTAAAAAGTATCGTGATTCATACAAATTGTAACACAAAGACAAACGTGTCTGGCTTTTTCTTAAAAAATGAACCTGAAAAATGTATATTCAACTGCAATTTTGACCTGATTGATGATTTGAACAAAAAAGTTCTTATTCTGAAAAGTATGTTTATTACTAATGATGATTCCATTCAAGCGAATCCGATCGTATCATTTTAATGAAGCTCAAATTGGTGTCACCGTTTCTGGTCGTCCATTTAGTAGCCAAGAAGACATCACCACGCGTATAAATTGTTATTTTTCGTGCTCTGGTCAACTTGACACGTTCTTCATTCAAAATTCTTAAATTCAAAACTAAACGTTCATCTAGTGCTATGAATGTGATTTAATTCAATTCCGGTGAACGATGAATGAATGGCATAATGTCATCAATGTAAAGCAATGAGCGGATGTGAAGACTTCAAGTCTCTTTGAGCCGACGGTGGCGCATCGAATTTCAAAGGGGACGTCAATGTTATTTTACAACTCAAATCGAAACTAAACAGCGCGCCAACTTTAAAATTTGCTGTCATTTCCTCCCATTGATGTAAAGACCTAGGGGTTTTCATGTAAGATTTTGTTTCACGAATTCGACGAATAAACAACAGTATAACAAATAATACAAATTTTTACAAATCATGCAAATCTTTACCGATTTCACTATTTTGTGCCAAAAATCCACCGATATTCGCCGATATGCGAAGTGTCTTTGTTCTGGAAGTGGGCTTTAGTGGATCCTCAGGATCGTTCAGAACCGCTCCCAGGTCTGGAAGTGGACCCTCAGGATGGGTCAGGGCATTGTCAAACCATGGTCTGGTCGATCCAGAGGATCCACCAAAACCCACTTCCAGAACAATTAAATATCAAAAAATACCCGAATATTAACGATATTTTACAGATATGCCGATATTTCACCGATCTACCGATATTTCACCGATATGCCAATACGCAACGATAATACGCAAATATTATCCAATAAAAATACATGCAAACCCCTAGGTAAAGACGTTCAGCTAAAAGCTCCATATCCTTGGTATTCGAATACGAACGCAAAATAATTAATTCTCTCAGATTTGTCAATTGAGCTAAAGAACTCTTCCAGAATGACCAAATATACAGTAACTCGAGACCTTTAAGTGAGGGCCTCACTGTGAGGCTACTGAAGTGCTATTATCTTCGTCAACTACATGGTTATAAATGTATAATCGCTCATAAAAGCCTTGTTCATCGAGTTGATCTAATAATTCCAAAGGACTTTTCGACGTCTGCGTAGACTGCGGATAAACTTAAAATTCTTTCATTTCGCATATTCGATTTTGCATTAGAAGTTAAAAATATGTCAGCGTTGTCCCACAAAAACTTTGCAGTAGTTGAAAATCTTCTTAAATGTGAATTGCGTACGAAATAATTTCGTAACTCTTCAATTTGAAAAGAATCATTAGGTATCAATTCTATACGTTCAAACTTGGAACATTCTTGTAACAGTTAATTGAGTTTACCCTTTATGCGTTTACCGACATCCGAATTTCAAACATAAATCAATCACAAATTGAGTGGACCGAGGAATAGAAACAATATTTATCTACATTTTTACTTCTTAAGATGAAAGCATATCGTGAATTATGCGAAGAGAAATTTCACTAGCTTTTTCTGAAAAATGAATATGAAAATATTTTAAATTCAAATAGAATATTGATTTGATCTATTCTAAAAATTTGTATTTAATCATAATGTTCCCACTTTATCGAATCCGCTCGTCTGATTTCGATGAAGCTTAAATTCGTATCACCGTTTCTGGTCGTCCATTTAGTAGCCAAGAAGACATCGTCACGCGTATAAATTATTATTTTTCGTGCTCCGGCCAATTTGGCACGTTCTGCATTCAACATTGCCAACTTCAAAACTACACCTTCGTCCCGTGGTATGAATTTGATTTTGTTCAATTTCGGTGATCGACGAATGAATGGCATAATGTCATTGACGTTAGCCCAATCAATGTAAAGACGTTCAAGTCTTATCAGGCCATTTGCTAAATTCTCCATATCCTCAGCACTCGACTCACCATAAATAATTAATTCTCTAAGATTGGTCAATTCAGCTAAATTATAACTCTTGTCGAATGGCCAAATGCACAGTAGCTCGAGACCTCTGACTGAGGCTAATGAAGTACTAAGCTCTTCGTCAACACTCCTGGTGTAAATGTATAATCGCTTATAAAAGCCTTGTTCATGGAGTCGATTTAATAATTCCAAAGGAAATCTCGAAATAATGTTACATCTTTTGACTTGCAAAATATCCAATTTTGCATTGGAACTTAAAAGTATGTCACCATTCTTCGACAAAAATTTTGAGGAAGTTGAAAATCTCTGTACATTTGGATTGCGTACGAAAAATTCACGTAGCTCTTCAATTAGACAACAATCACTGGGCCTTAATTCTAAACGTTCAAGCTTAGGATATTTTTGTAGCAGCCAATTGAGTTTACCATTTTTTCGATTACCGACATCTGAACTTTGAACACTAATCACCTTCAAATTCTTACAATATTTCAATATCAAATCATAAAAGTCACCATCCATTGAACATTCTCGATGCTGTACAATTTCCAGTTGGGGCAACATTCGTTTAAAATGCTTAATTCGTATGCTATTAATACGTTGCTCCCTAAGATGAATGTGGTTAGTTGACTCAAATTCGTTTATGTGCGATTTAATATATTTTGGTAGACTGAGGTGATAATGTGAAATGCACGGCATGAACCTATTGAAACCAGATATTTGAATGCGTTTATTTACAACACCGTCTTTGTCCCAACAATACATGTATATTCCATCTTCTCTGCACTCTTTTGGAGCCGACGAATAATTTTGTTTGAAATATTCGCCGGCCACTTTGTTCATTCGCTTGCATGTTTGACCGAATGAATGCAAGTCTTTCACGTTCAAATATTCAAATATCTCGTCAAAACAATCGATGGTCAAATTGAATATTTTTGACGATTCCGAATCCAATGGAGCGAAAACAGTAGCTTGACTTTGTTTATTACCCATAGTATATGTTAATTCACCGAATTTTCCTGGATAGTGAACGAATAAAATATCACTCGTTTAAAGCCCGGTTTCCGTAACCCGTATTAGAACAATTCACGATTCGTGTACACTCGGCACATCTTCAGTGAAGATTCTTCACTGCTTAGGCGAATATCAGCAGTAGATTTCACTGCGACATGGTCAAAAAACATCAAGTAGCCATATGTACATTTTTTTTGGGCGAACTTTCTTTGACTGTGTATGGCTGTGAGCAACGACATTTCGCAGTGAACTCAACGGCTGATATTCCGTAAAGCAGTGATGACATGCCGAGTGTACACGAACTGTGAATTGTTCTAATGCGCGTTGCTGAAGTGGTATAGGCTTTAAACGAGCATGGTTAATGTTTTCAAAGAATAAGCACTTTTTGAATATATTTACCCGAGAGAAATATAACGAATCAGTTTTTCTACGATTGAAAAGATTTAAATGGAAGTTTAAATGAACGTAATTTTTTTGTAAGCAAAGAAACACAACACAATCTTGTGAACTGCTCTGATTTTCTGACATCGCAATTTATTGAGAATAAAAATAATATACAGTGAATGACAGGACCAAAGGGCGCCCACACTTGTTTTACTTCAGTTTGACGTTCTATCCATTTTCGCTGTTTCACATCGATTTGAATGAGTCAGTGTGGATGGTTCCTCATATGTATATAAAATATTTGACGTTCGTTCATACTTTCGTTCGAATTATTATCGATTTTTGAGACTACCTCAACAAAATTCGCTCAATGTCACCATAATGCTGATAAGAAAAAGCAACAACTTTCTTGATAGGCAAGGTAGAATTTATACGTCAATAGTCTATAATTAAATATTCGTTCGGTAAAGAAAGAAATTTAGAAACAGTGCAAAAAAGTTCGCCTTACGGATGTAAGTTCCTTTTTATTTTGAATTGTAATAGACAAAAAGTGAATATTAACAACAAAAATATGTATGTGTATATTTATAGTGATTGAAATTGTTAAACGATTGTCGAATCTATTCGTGAGTTTCGGACTCTTGTTGAACTAGTTTAAAGCGTCTTGGTGAACAGATCTATCTATTGGCTATCAGTGGTTTTTTTCATTGTATTATCCAATTCCAAATGTTTTCTAATCAAACGGGAAACCAACACTTGCGGGCGCTTTTGCCATTCATACATCACTTCCTTCGGGGTATTGACCTAAGAGAACATTGAAAACAGATTTCGATTTTAATTTCAGATTTTCGGATGCATATACCAAACGAAAATATTCTCCATACCTGATCACCCTTCAATCGATCTATATGTGTAACACAAACGATGGCCGAACGAATGCCCGCATGATATGTAAGTGCAGCAAAAATGGTACATTCCATTTCAATGTTAATCACACCAAAATCATGTAATTTTGCCAAATACTCCATTTTATCATTTTCATTATAATCACAGAACGCACCATCCAACCGTCCTTGACCTGACACAAGACGGAATGCATGAGAGAGAGAAAAATATATATAAATATTTGCAAGTTATTCATCATGTTATCGCTTGACACATGAACCAATTCAAAGTGAATAAGATGAATACCCTCATAGAAGTCATCAGTGCACATTGTTTTTCCAATAACCGTAGTGTATAGATCATTCGCTGGATCACATAAACTTTTCAATTCACGAGCCAATTTCTTATCCAATTTTGTGGGCCGTTGTACTAGTTTACCTAATATTGGCTATTTATGTTGAAAACAAAAAGAAAGCAAAATGATTCCCATAAGGAAATAAACAATATGTTCATGGTTTACCAGTTCAAAAGTGCTACGGAATAGGCCATCTATTGCATCTTCAGTGATGATGACAGTGCCGGCTTCAACACCAATTCCACCGCATGTACCAATACGAATGAAGATTGGATCTTTACATTTTGCATGATACATTAATTTTATCATTTCGTGTAACAATATACCGACCGAAGGAACACCCATACCATGACTGACACATAATACTGGTCCAACCTATCCATTTGATTGATGCGTTTTTTCAGCAATATGTATTTTTTTTTTTCATTCTTGTAATAAATTTGCATTTGTACCGTTGGATACAAACCTTGTACATTGAATATCGATTGGAAAATGCGCTGATATCTGACAATTGTGTGCCGGTTGGTAGTTTATAGCCAATTTCATCCATGATGAAATGAGCAAAAGTTTCCATTCGTTTTGGTGTGCCACCCATACAAACGAACTGTAAATTCAATCGCATAAATTACAATTATGTATGAGATACGTGTGCATAACCTTTATTTGCAATGAGCAAAAGAGAAAAAATGGCACATAGAAAGAGGCATACCTTAACATCGCCAAACATTTCGATCAAATCATGACTTCTGCTACCGAGTGACAAATGGTAAAGAATATCCTGATCCATGAGTTCGATATTGGGATTTCGTAGTTTTACTGTGCCATCTGGATATCTGAAATGGCAAAAATATTCCAAAGTGCTCATTTTCAACAAAAGCAAATGTTCAACAAGAGAACGAGAAAAAAATCACTCAATTCATCGATGATACAAAGAATGATTCGATTGACAGCAAACGATAATGCATTCTAACATCGAGCAAAATGCAATATTTTCTTATTTTCTCATTTCAACGATTACACAAATAAAGAAAAATTGCTACCTTGTTTCTTTTGATACCCATTCATGTTCTTCAGCGTTGTCGGTTGGTTCGGTTTGTGTACATGTGATCGACACATAATCATTATTTTCAATTTTCGACATTTCTTTTATTTGCAACAAAACGAAACGAAACAACAACAAAATTTTCTAATATATCAACATACAATCTGAATGCTCTGTAAGTTTCAAACTAAATATTGAGCATTTAAAGTTGAACGAAACTTGATATTCCCAGAAAAACAATTTGTTGCGCAAATATTATCAGGATTGACGACAGTTGAGTTTTACAATCTATTCTTCACTCTGATTCGCACTGCAATCAATTTATCGTTGAGCACTAAATAAATAGCAACAAAGCTGTTCAGCCCGATGGGGAACAATTGACGTATTATCACTAGTTCTGTGTTATCTTGAATATTTTTATCACTTAATTATTAATACTACTGTTTTATATTTTGATTGTGTGAATAAGTGATTGTTCTATTTGAAGAGCTTGAAGTTTCAGCCGCAGTAGTGTTGGAGTTTTAAACCGATGAAATAGGTGTGTCATAAAAGCAGACAATATATTTAGATTTTGTCGCCTGGATATTTCAGCTCATCTGCATGACGTCAGGCGATACGGAGTGAAAACAATCGTAGTTATGGTAGTATTTTTATACCTATAACAATCACTTCTATTGTTTTCACTACTTATCATCGCCTGATATCATCCAGATGAGCTGAAATATCCAGGCGACAAAATCCAAATATATTCTGTCTGGATAAAAGACTACAGCAACAATGCGGATAAGTCATATTTGCACCGACAGCTGTTTTACAAATAGAACAGCTAAAAAACTACAAAATAAAATGAAATGCTTTGCAGTTACCGACTTATCAATTGTGAGCATTCTTTTATCGGAATCACGTGTCGATTACGTCACAGTTCACGACAAAATCAAACCCACTCTTGAGCATTTAGTTTAATTTTTCAACGAATTTCACATGTAAAGAATTTACACACACGTTCACCGCAAAACTTATTTGCTTTCTTTCCTCATCACCGACGACACATAAAGCATTGGCTCCCATACGAAATTTTCTATTTTTGGCTCAAAAACGAAATTTGTTGAAATTGCTTCAAACTTTAGGAATGTTATTTTTTTGAAAGAAAATAGCCTGTACAAAGTTTCATGTCAATACGATATGTCAGATTCAGTTTTCTCATGAATTTAAATTTAAGTAAAATATATGTAATAAATGTATGTTGTGGATCACACTACGAAAAAGTTCATCTTACGGATGTAAGACATTTTATTTTTCGTGCTATGGGCATCTTGGCACGTTCTGCATTCAACATTGTTAAATTCAAAATTACACCCTTGTTTCGTGGTATGAATTTGAATGAATGGCATAGTGTCATCGATGTAAGCCCAATCAATGTAAAGACGTTCGAGTTTCATCAGGCCATTTGCTACAATTTCCATATCCTTGGCTTTCGATCCATCCAAAATCATTAATTCTCTCAGATTGGTCAATTGAGCTAAATTATAACTCTTCTCGAATGACCTAATGCACAATAACTCAAGACCTTTGAATGAGGCTAACAAAGTGCTAAGTTTTTCGTCACATTCATCTATGTAAATGTATAATCGCTTATAAAAGCCTTGCTCATGGAGTCGATTTAATACATCCAAAAGTTTTTCCGATATCTGTTTGTTGATTTGGTGATCTGATGATAGCCGCGTGAAATGAAAGTTTTTGAGTTTCAATATATCCAATTTTGCATTGGAATTTAAAAATATGTATCTATTCTTCCACAACATTTTTAAGGTAATGGAAAATCTCTGTACATTTGGATTGCGTACGAAAAAATTACGCAGCTCTTCAAATTGATAAGACTAACGAGGCATCAATTCGAAACGTTCAAGCTTTGGATATTCTTACAATAGCCAGTTGAGTTTACCATTTATACCGGCAAATGAATTTTGAATATAAATCTCTCTCAAATTCTTACAATATTTCAATATCAAATCGTAAAAGTCACCATTCATCGAACATTTTCGAAGCTGTACAATTTCCTGTTGGGGCAACAATCGTTCAAAATGCTTAACTCTTTCGTTATTAATATCTAATTCCACCAGATAAATGTGTTTAGTTGACTCAAATTCATTGATATGAGATTGAATATATTTAAGTGAATCGAGATCGTCATCATAATGTAAAATGAACAGCATAAATTTATTGAAACCAGATGTTTGGATGCGTTTTACAACACCATCTTTGTACCAATAATACATGTAAATTCCATCATATTTGCAGATTTGCTCAGCAGATGAGTAATTTTGTTTGAAATATTCGCCGGCCAGATTGTTCATTCGCTTGCATGTTTGACCGAATGAATGCAAATCTTTCACGTTCAAATATTCAAATATCTCGTCAAAGCAATCGATGTTCAATTTAAATATTTTCGGCGGAGATTCGTCGTTTGATGTACTAGCCACAGCATCTTCATTATGATTTTTGTTATCTGAGTGAGAAAATTTCCGCTTCTTCTGTAGATAACTCATAGCAAATCTACATAAGAATAGAACAATTAAATGATAATTAGTATTTTGTGGAACCAACACTTTACGATAATTTACACAGAAACATCGATACGAATTTGTTTTTTATGAGAATTCAAACTTTTAATGGATGCTTAAAAAGAAAGAATGAGCACAAATTGTAATATAACCTTTAATGGGACCTCAAAAATAATATTTTGTTAATTATAAGAAGGAAAAATAGATACAATGACAAATAGATATGGTTTTGACATTTATTTTACTTCTGACGTTTTTCATCGTTTTTTTCTATTTTCTTGACGTTTATCGTTTCCAACCGTTTAAAAAAAATCGTTAAAATTATGAAACTGGTGACACATTCTGTGTGAATAATTGTCAGTAAAAATGAAAACTATATGATATATTTTCTAATAAATTCATGTATTCCTTATTTCAGATATTTAATTAAACATTTCTCCAGGAGTTTACTTCTTAACATATGTGTTATTATATGAAATCAGCCATCAACAACTATTTGTTGATGTACTTCCGTATTCTTCAAATTACATTTTGAAAGGGAAAAAGACTTGTATGTTTGGATTTTCCTTTATTCAAAAATTTACTCAGATTATGATGGAATCAATTTCTCCGTTCTTTTTCAGTTCTAAAATTTGAAAAAGTAATGTGAAATATAAATGGTAAGACAAAGACAAACTTCTTTAGCTTTTTTTCAAAAATGAATTTGCAAAGATTTTAAATTTAAACCGAATATTGATCTGACTGAAGATTTGAATAAAAAATTTCTTCTTCAAAAAAATTATATTTAATAATGATGATTCCATTCAAGCGAATCCGATCGTATCATTTCAATGAAGCTCAAATTAGTGTCACCGTTTCTGGTCGTCCATTTAGTAGCCAGGAAGACATCGTCACGCGTATAAATTATTATTTTTCGTGCTCCAACCAACTTGGCACGTTCGATATTCAACAGTGTCAAATTCAAAATTACACCCTTGTTTCGTGGTAAAAATTTGATTTTGTTCAATTTCGGTGATCGACGAATGAATGGCATAATGTCATCGAAGCTAGCCAAATCAATGTAAAGACGTTCGAGTTTTATCAGTCCATTTGCTAAAATTTCCATATCCTTGGCTTTCGATCTATCCAAAATGATTAATTCTCTCAGATTGGTCAATTGAGCTAAATTATAACTCTCGTCGAACCATCGAATGCACAATAACTCCAGACCTTTGAGTGAGGCAAATAAAGTGCTGTCAAATTCATCAACTACATCGACGTAAATGTATAGTCGTTTATAGAAGCCTTGTTCATGGAGTTGATTTAATAATTCCAAAGAAATTTTTGACGTTTGGTTCCCAACTGATGAAAACCACGTAGAAAAGTAAAATCCTTTAAGTTCCAATATATCCAATTTTGCATTGGAATTTAAAAATATGTCACCATTCTTCCACAAAAAACCAGCGGTAGTTGAAAATCTCTGTACATTTGGATTGCGTACGAAAAAATTACGCAGCTCTTCAAATTGATAAGAATCACGAGGCATCAATTCGAAACGTTCAAGCTTTGGATATTCTTGTAATAACCAGTTGAGTTTACCATTTATACGGTTACCGGCAGCTGAATTTTGAATATAAATCTCTCTCAAATTCTTACAATATTTCAATATCAAATCATAAAAGTCACCATGCAACGTACAACCGCGGTGTTGGACAATTTCCAATTGGGGTAACAATTGTTTAAAATGCTCAATTCTTCCGTTAGTAATTTCCAATTCCACCAGATAAATGTGTTTAGTTGACTCAAATTCACTGATGTGCGATTTAATATATTTGAGTGGACCGAGGTCACGATGATAATGTGAAATGCATGGCATGAAATTATTGAAACCAGATGTTTGAATGCGTTCATTTATAACACCGTCTTTGTCCGAATAAACTGTGTGAATTCCATCTTTTGCGCAGAATTTCTCAGCCGATGAATGATTTTGTTTGAAATATTCGCCGGCCACTTTGTTCATTCGCTTGCATGTTTGTCCGAATGAATGTAAATCTTTCATGTTCAAATATTCGAATATTTCGTCGAAGCAATCGATGGTCAAATTGAATATTTTTGGTGGTGATTCCACTGAATTTTCATAATGGCTCTGGTGATCTGTGTTGTACATTTTTTGCTTTTTTTGTAGGTGACTCATAATCGGTGACGAGTATTCGCGGAAAACTACAGAACAGAAAATTATTAACTAATTAATTTAATTTGTGAAAACAAACACTCACCGAATATTTACATGAGAAAAACTTCACAAATCGATGTAATATGAATAAAAACTTCTTAATGAAAGTATAAAATGAATTGAACGTAATTTACGCAATTCAATATTTGTGCTATAGCTTTAGTCGTACTAATAATTATTATCAAAACAAAAAACACTGAGAGACAGATATGATTTTGACACTTATCTATCTGAAGTTGGCTGCACTTGAATCATCATGAATCATTTGATTTGATTTATTTTGGCCGTGCAGTTTAAGCCAATTTCTTTTTTTGTCATTTGGTTTGAAAAAAAACTTATGAATAAAATCCTACACGCATTGTTTGGCATCTTTTTTATGCAAAATTTATAATTTCCATCGTATTTCTTGGTTTTTTCATTGTATTATTTGATTTGAGTTGGTCCAAATTAACAAAATATTTGGCAAATCATTGATTTGAGGAGGACAGTTCAGATCAAATAAATCACCTGAGAAACAGTGATTAGGTGAATCAAATCAACTGATAATATTTGGCGATGCTGATATATTTGAGCGCTTCACAGTTCACAAATCAGTTGATATCAGTTTTGGAATTCAAAATTGACAACCCAAATCATACCGTCACCATTTCCATTCGTTTCAAACAATTTGTGCCAAAATTCAAAAATACAAGATATTTAGAAAAAGACAGTGATTTTTTCAATCCAATTTTTTAGTTCCAATACAATTTCGGCATTCAAAACGTGATGAAAAAAAACGAGTAGAGTTTAAAGCCCGGACAGGATTTTGATGGGCAAATAATCTTTGTTTTTGTTACTTTTTGCGAGAATGAGCGCTCCGCTGTGATTTCGAGCTGAAAGTTGCAGGAAAAACGAAATGCAATTCATAAATATCTTCAAGAAAAAAGGGAAAAAATTCTTTTCTATCATTTTTTTTATTTCTCTTTATTTAAATATTTACTCAGATTATAATTGAATCAATTTTTCTGTTTCTTTTCTTCTTTTATCTATAACACCGAAGGTATATATGTATGTATGTTTGTGTCAGTTTGACAATCAAACGGCTCAACCGATCCGGATAAAAGCTTTCTTCTGATATATCTAAGGGATAAGTGATTATATGTATGGGCTAGCATCTACGAGTGAGCGAAGTAAAAAATCTTCAGCTTTTTTTCAAAAATGAATCTAAAAAGAATTTAAATTTAAATGGAATATTAACCTGATTTGAATAACAAATTTCTTTTTATTATTTTAAATAAGAAAAATAATGATTCCATTCATGCGAATCCGATCGTCTGATTTCGATACAGCTTAAATTTCTGGAAAAAAATTAAATTTACAGCACCGTTTCTGGTCGTCCATTTAGTAGCCAAGAAGACATCATCACGCGTATAAATTATTATTTTTCGTGCTCTGGCCAACTTGGCACGTTCCTTATTCATCATTTCCAAATTCAAAACTACACCTTTGTCCCGTGGTATGAATTTGATTTTGTTCAATTTCGGTGATCGACGAATGAATGGCAAAATGTCATCAATATTTGCCTCATCAACGTAAAGACGTTCAAGGTTAGTCAGGCAATTTGCTAAAATCTCCATATCCTCAGCAATCGATCCACCCAAAATAATTAATTCTCTCAGATTGGTCAATTGAGTTAAATTATAAGTCTTCTCGAATGACCTAATGCACAATAACTCAAGACCGTTGACCGAGCCTAATGAAGTGCTACGTTCTTCGTCACAATCATCTATGTAAATGTATAGTTGCTTATAGAAGCCTTGTTCATGCAGTTGATTTAATAATTCCAAGGGAATTTTTGAATGAACGTTAGACCGCGGATAAACGTAAAATTCTTTGATTTCCAATATATCCAATTTTACATTAGAATTTAAAAATATGTTACTATTCTTCGACCAAAATCCTATGGTAGTTGAAAATCTCTGTACATTTGGATTTAGTGCAAAAAATGTGCGTAGCTCTTCAAATTTACCAGAATACGGAGGTATCCATTCGAATCGCTCAAGCTTGGGATATTCTTTTAATAACAAGTTTAGTTTACGATTTGTACGTCTACCGGTAGCCGAATTTTGAATATAAATCTCTCTCAAATTCGTACAATGTTTCAATATCGAATTGTAAAAGTCACCTCGCAACGAACAACGTTGGTATTGCACAATTTCCAGTTGTGGAAACAATTGTTTAAAATACTTAATTCGTTCATGACTAAGATCTATTTTCATCATATAAATGTGGTTTGTTGACTCAAATTCACTGATGTGCGCTTGAAAATATTTAAGATGACGAAAACCATTATTAATAATATAATATGAAATGTACGGCATGAACTTATTAAAACCAGATGTTAGAATACGTTTATTTACAACACCGTCTTTGTCCGAATATTTCGTGAATATTCCATCTTTTGTATAGAATTTTTCAGCCGATGAATAATTTTGTTCAGTGATGGTTTTTTCCTATCTGAATAGCGCTAGCTATTCGCAGCGCCTGTACAGCATTGCTGCCCAGATGCTGAATCGTAGCGGTTGCCGCACGCGCAACACACTTCGTTTGTACCACACAGAGCATATACGTTCGCGTTCGTTCTCTGTTCGACATGCGTTTGTATACTGACTATGGTATTAGTGTATCATACTCTGTGAGCTCACTGGTTACTTAGACTATATGACAATATGTTGTGTGGTACAAAACGCGTGCGGCAACCGCTTCGATTCAGCATCTGGGCAGCAATGCTGTTCAGACGCTGCGAATAGCTAGCGCTATTCAGATAGGAAAAAACCATCACTGATTTTGTTTGAAATATTCTCCGGCCACTCTGTTTATTCGCTTGCATGTTTGACCGAATGAATGCAAATCTTTCATGTTCAAATATTCAAATATCTCGTCAAAGCAATCGATGCTCAATTTGAATATTTTCGGCGGAGATTCCTCGTTTGATGGACCCGCAATCGCATCATCATTATGATTTTGGTTATGTGAGGGAGATGTATGCAGCTTCTTTTGTGAATAACTCATAGCGAAGCTGGATGAAAAAAGAACAATAAATTGATAATTATAGTATTTTGTGAAACCAACCTATTATTTACACGAAAACATCAACCACGATTGGGATTTTTTTTTAAATGAGAATTTAAACTGTTAATGAAAAGAAAAGCATTAATTGTATTCACCTTCAACTAAAAAATAATATTTTCTTATTTGTAAGAAGAAGACAATGACAATCGAGCAGACATGATTTTTACGCTTGCGCATCGTTTTTTCCTGTTTTCCCCATGTTTGTCGTTTTCACTTGTTTCAAACATTTCCCGTTGAAAATATGATGAAACTGATTCTGTGTGAATAATTGTCAGTAAAAATAAAAACTACATGATACTGGAAATGTATGAATTCAAGTATTCTTTATTTCTAATATTCATTGGAATGGCCATTAATCACCATTTGTAACAAATTCAACACTAAAGTGGATTGCACTTCAGCTTCAGGTTATATTTTGAAAGACTTGGATTTCTCTTTATTTAAAAATTTACTCAGATTATAATTGAATCAATTTGTCTGTACTTAGAAGTGAAAAACTAAAACTGAAAAAGTATTGTGAATTGTAAGACAAAGACAAACTTCTCTAGCTTTCTTTCAAAAATGAATCTGAAATGATTCTAACTAAATTTTTAAGTATTAAGTATTTTGGTATCATTGATGATTTGAACAAAAAATTTCTTTTCTAAAAAAGGCTATTTAATAATGATGATTCCATTCAAGCGAATCCGATCGTCTAATTTCGATGTGGCTCAAATTGGTGTCACCGTTTCTGGTCGTCCATTTAGTAGCCAAGAAAACATCATCACGCGTATAAAATATTATTTTTCGAGCTCCAGCCAACTTGGCACGTTCTTCATTCAACATTGTTAAATTAAAATTTCCACGCATCCAGAAATGTGGAGGTATGAATTTGATTTTGTTTAATTTCGGTGATCGACGAATGAATGGCATAATGTCATCGATAGTACCTTTTTTAATGTAAAGACGTTCAAGTTTTGTAAGGCCATTTGCTAAAATCCCCATATCCATGGCACCATCTGTGGCACTCGATCCGCACTTAAGAATTAATTCTCTCAGATTGGTCAATTGAGCTAAATTATTACTTTTGCTTAATCGTCGAACGCTCAATAGCTCGAGACCTTTGAGTGAGGCTAATGCAGTGCTGAACGCATCGTCAACCCAATTGGTGTAAATGTATAGTCGCTTATAAAAGCCTTGTTTATGGAGTTGATTTAATAATTCCACGGGAAATTTTGACATTTGCCAAGGCCGCGTCGAATAGTAAAATCCTTTGAGTTCAAATATATCCAATTTTGCATTGGAATTTAAAAATATGTCACTATTATTCCACAAAAATTTCCGCGTGGTTGAAAATCTCTGTACATTTGGATTGCGTACGAAAAAATTACGCAGCTCTTCACATTGATAACATTCATGAGGTATCAATTCTAATCGTTCAAGCTTTGGGTATTCTTGTAATAACCAGTTGAGTTTACCATTTATATCGGCAGCTGAATTTTGAAAATAAATCTCTCTCAAATTCATACAATGCTTCAATATCAAATCGTAAAAGTCACCGATCATCCCACAGTTTCGGTGTTGCAAAATTTCCAGTTGAGGCAAAAATTGTTTGAAATGCTTAACTGTTTCGTTGTAAATACATAACTTCGAAAGATAAATGTGTTTAGTTGACTCAAATTCACTGATGTGCGATTCAATATATTTGAGTGGACCCCACGATCGAGTGGAATCATAACGATAATTAATTGAAATGCATGGCATGAACTTATTAAAACCAGATGTTTGAATGCGTTCATCTATAACACCGTCTTTGTCCGAATAAACTGTGTAAATTCCATCTTTTTCGCAGAATTTCTCAGCCGATGAATGATTTTGTTTGAAATATTCGCCGGCCACTTTGTTCATTCGCTTGCATGTTTGTCCGAATGAATGCAAATCTTTCACGCCCAAATATTCAAATATCTCGTCATAGCAATCGATGTTCAATTTGAATATTTTCGGCGGAGATTCGTCGTTTGGTAAATCTGCCACCCCATCTTCATTGTGATTTTGGTCACCTGGGTGTGAAAATTTCGGCTTTTTTTCTGGACGACTCATAGCGAAACTGGATAAGAACAATGGAATGATAATAAGTATTTTGTGAAACCAACACTTTACGATAATTTACACAAAAATATCGACACGAATTTTTTTTATGAGAATTTAAACGTTTAATGGTTGCTCAAAAAGATAGAATGAACGTAAATTGTATTAACCTTTTATAAGATCTCAAAAATAATATTTTGTTATTTATAAGAAGAAGCGATTAACAGAGACAATGAAAATCGGACAGATTTGGTTTTGACGTTTGTTCACTTCAGTCTGACGTTTTCAATCGTTCTCTCCTATTTTCTCAACTCGTTTCCACTCGTTTCAAACATTTGAAACTGATGGTGCACTGTTGTTGATGTGATCTGTTTGAATAATTGTCGATCTGTTTGAAAGCTATTACATGATAAACTTTTCCAATAAATTCATCTATTCTTTATTTCTAAAAAAAAAATATCTTTCAAGGAGTTTATTTCCTAACACGAGTTATTATATAAAATCGGACATCAATCACTATTTGTATCAAATTAAACACCAAAGTGTACTTTACTGTCAAATTACATTTTGAAAGAAAAACAGATCCGCATAAGGACTTGATTTTTTATTAATGCCATCTTGTGACTATTAGCCACTGATGATGATCTATTTTTACTTGAGAATTTATCAAGACTTAACTAGGACTGTTTTTCGTTTAAAAATTGGAGTTAATTCCTCAAAAAGCTGAACCAACTATAGAAAATATATAAAAAAAAAGTTTTTTTTTTTCTTATTTAAGTCAAAATATTTCCAACAAAACTCCAATTTATCATTAAAATATCATTTTTAAATGTATCTCATTTTAAACAAGGGGCATTTTACTATATGCGAATGCCATTTTATACGGAATATATGAACATTTTCCTATTCATACATGAAATATACGAAGTAAAGTATATTCATCCGCATCAACATCTATGAAAATTCGTACATTTCATTCGCAACCATTCGCGAATGCCGCATACGTCTTGCTAGATGCGACAAACTGTCGTGTGACATTTGTACATACACATTGCTGTGTTCAGTTTGTCGTGGAAGTTTCAAACACAATGTCATTGTTCTCAACTAAATTTGAAAAAACAGTTGAAGAAAAAAATACAAGATTATTTGTTGAATATTATTTTAGAAGCCGTATTCGATTCGAAAAGTGAGATTTTAGAAATAATTTCAGATAATATAAAAGAAATTGAAAGTTACGTCAATGAAAATAAAAACCTTTCACAAGGCACCGTTTACAGTGATAATATTACGAGTGGCAAAGATTTATTTACCATTTTAGAAAAATTTCACTCAATATTACCAAAAAAAATATCAATTCGGCTTGAATCTCTGTCACCTAATCTGTCACTTTGACTTTTTGAATGTAAAAATATGACTTTTCATATGCGCCATCCGCAAAATGTGTATGAAACATTCGACACCGTCCGCAAATTTGTATGAAACATCCGCCACCATTCGCAAAATTTGTAAGAAACATTTGCGACCATTCGTTTACATTTGCAAAATATATAGGAAAAATTCGCTCGCATATGGATCATTCGTTTAAGTCGGAACCCCCTAGATTTTAAATATGCTAAACTTATAAAAAGAATTAAGAAAAATAATCCCAATCATACGGATCTGTTTGTCACATTTCGATGAAGCTGAAATTGGTGTCACTATTTTAGGACGGCCGTAGCCAAGAAGATATTGTTACGCATATAAATGAAAACTGTACATTTATAGGCTAAAGTTTCCAAGTGGATTATCTTCAATTTGACTGTGCTGAATTTTTCCTCAATGTCAAAGATGCATCGTTTGAATTATTGTTCATGAAATCAATTAAGTATTATTAATAAATCTTGTTATAAAAATACATCTAATTCATTAAGTAATACGCAAGGTTCCCAATCATACGAATCGGCTCGTCTCATTTCGATGAAGTTCAAATTGGTGTCACCGTTTCTGGTCGTCCATTTAGTAGCCAAGAAGACATCATCTCGCGTATAAATT